AAAAGCTGAAACGTGACATCTGGTGAGAGGGCGGGTGGGGGTTGAACAGATGCCTTGGGAGCTGTTTGTTTGGAGGCAAGAGTACCTGGAGGACGCTGGTGTGGTGGAGGAGGGAGTGAGGGAGGGTGGGTTAGTGCCAGGGTCGCCAATAGTGCATCAAAACGCGACTTTTCCTCCTCTCTTCGTATCTCCTTCCTCTGAAATTCCATCTCTCTACGTCGCTCATCCCGGTCGTCCATCCACCTCAGAATTGTGGCAATGTCTGTCACTGGAGGTGGAGGATGAGAGTCTGCGCCCGGTGGAGGGGAAGGTGGTGGTGAGTCGTGTCTCCCATCTTGATGTTGTCCCTTCTTACCGCCCATCTTAGTGTGTGCGTGGACTGCACTGTTTAGTATATAAAGTGGCACCTCAACAGCTCGAACCACATATATATGACATAAACAGCGCAGAAATAACGCATATAGTCCACTGTTCTGTCCGTGAGTGAATGAATGCATGCGTGCGTGTGTGTGTGTGTGTGTCTGTCTGTCTGAGAGAGCACTTCGTGGTGGCCTTAATGCCGGTGGCTGGGGACGCGGCGGGAGTGAGACGTCAGTGTCTCCCGGGATGTCACACGAGAAGGGTGTACGCCTGCGTGCTCCGTGGGTACCACAAAAAAAAGGCCAATGCTCAACTCTCAGCTCTAGACACACACTAATACACTGACACTAACACTGCCACCGTCACTAAAACACACTGTGACGGCCCAACACTGCACATCGCGGCGAAACACAGCGCAACACAACACAACACACTGAGTCGACGCGCATCACCGGCAGACGTAACTGTCTCGGCATTGTTTACACACTTGTACGTCCACAGATCCCAATCACTGCGCCATGGTGGTTACAAGTGTTCCCTGAGGAATGCAGTGATGTGTAGGGAAACACTGAGTAACACTGAAGTTAGTTTATTATGGATGAGAGAAATACAAGTGGTGACTCGCGTGTGCCATGCACGGCTCACACAGTCAGACTGAGGCTGCCTTGCCATATGGCAGCCTCGGGGCAATGTTGCCACATAACGTGTGCAGTGTTGCCACGTAATTATATATATAAATGCTACTCGGCACAGTAGCTTGTTTACAAGGTTGCTACTTGGCACAGTAGCATAGATACATAACCTACACCCTCCTCTGCCTCCTCCACCTCCTCACCGCCACTACTGCCGACAACAAACACAAATGTTTTGTGAATAACTGCACCTCCACTTCCTATGTACAGTACTGAACTGTACTGTGCATTTTTACAAACAATAAACATGGCAAGAAAAGCTATTAAAAAAAAGAGATAAAAATTTCACTTTACTGTACTGTACCTATCCTCGGCGACAGGACGGGGGTCATCGGGCTCATCGTCACTCAATTCCATAACGGGTGGTGAAGTGGGGGCGACGGTGGATTCAGCTGCTTCCTCACTGCCGCCAGTGATTGATGGTGTTAAATCTCTCCTTCGGTGATCAAAGAACATGGTGATGGGGAGTTGTCGTCTCTTTCTTTTCATTTCTTCCATGATGTTTTTGTATGGAGCAAAAACGTCATCCATCCCTCGCATGAATTTCAGGGCACGCACCATGGAGGGGTCCATACTATAGGCCAGGTTTTTCAGTGCCTCAATATTCCTGGTCATCTCCCCCAACTTCTCCAACGTTATTTCTTGGTGCTCTTCCTCTTCCTCATCCTCTTTCCCTTTCGCTTCCTCTTCCTTGCCTGAGTCTACTAACTCCTGTAGATCCTCCTCGGTCAGCTCAGTGTCGTGCTCTTCAATTAGCTCCCTAATCTCGTCCTCTGCCATGTCCTGGAAGCCTTCAGCAGCCACTTTCCTTGACAGTGCCAGGGTCTTTCTGAATATTTTCATTAAAATCCATCAAAATCATTTTCCTTGTCATCGTCTTAAGCACCAAACAGCTCCTCCCAGTCTTCTCCTTGAACAGGGCTAGAGGGTACGTGTTTTTCGAATCGTTTTCAATTAAAAAAATGTTACAGCACATGTATATTTTACTTAAACTGTGCCTGAATGAATATATTCTCAGAAATAAATAGTAGTTTTGCTGAAACGTGATGTATTTCAATGTAAAATAGGATAAAATACATGACGAAAACAAAAGACTTTATCTAACTTTCCGATGTTCAAGAGATGTTACTCGTTTTTTTAATAGTTTTCGGTTAAAATACTGTTATATTACAATGATATTCTATTCATACTGTGCTTGATATACTACATTATCGGAAATGTAATATTTTTGCTGAAATGACGTACGTATTACAGTGGAAAGTGGTATAAAATCGTGACGAAAACAATGACTTTCGCTTTCTTTTGTTCAAAAGATGTTACCGTAATCGCTTTTTGAATGGTTTTCAGTTAAAAAAACTGTTGCATCACAAGTGAATTAGGATAGACTATTATTGTAATATAACAGTTTTTTAACTGAAAACCATTCGAAAAGCGATTACGGTAACACCTTTTGAACGAAAGAAAGCGAAAGTCATTGCTTTCGTCACTTTCCACTGTAATACGTACATCATTTCAGCAAAATATTACATTTCCATATTCTCAGAAATAAATAGTAGTTTTGCTGAAACGTAATGCATTTCAATGTAAATTAGGATAAACTACATGAAAACAAAAGACTTTACCTAACCTTCCGATGTTCAAGATATGTTACTCGTTTTTTTAGTAGTTTTCGGTTAAAACACTCTTATATTTGTGATATTCTATTCAAACTGTGCTTGATATAATACATTCACGGAAATGTAATATTTTTGCAACTACAATGCTGATGTCAACACAAGCGTGGTTAAAACGAGACTGACTGAGTGAGGGAGAGCTATGCGTGTGTGTGTGAGGTTGCGGGAGCGGGCGGTGCCGCGTGGAGTTGAATGGCGCGCGATTTGAATGTACTTCAATTACTTCAATGTACAGAATATTCCTCCGGCGGGGCAATCCGCGTATTTGCAAATCCGTGTATGCTAAACCCGCGTATGTTTAGGGCCGACTGTATATGCAAAGAGCAACTGATGTCTAACGGGAAGACCAAACCCCTGAAAGAAAGGTGGGGGAGAAGAGAGGGGATTTGATGGGGGGGAGATAAGAGGGTAGGCTATGTGAGGTGGGTGGTCAAGGTGCTAATGGACACAAGATCAAAGGGAAAGTCCGCTTGACCTTATGTCACCTCAAGAGACCTCTAGGTATGTGACCGCCTGGTGTCTCCCCACACTAACATCATATCCTTCACGGCTCCACCCACAGCTCGTTTACAATGGTTAATAATTAATTAATTAATTTAAAAATGTATTAATTTATATGTAATGAGTAACAATTTTTGTTTTTTCAATTTTATTGAAGTAAGAGTCCAGTGTGCAGTAAAAGTACTAAAAATTTTGAGTACTTTTAAAAATTAAATACCCAAAAATATTAATTGAGTACAGTATTCAAGTAAATTTATTTGGTTACTTTACATCTCTGTGTGTATCTATACTGTGCCTAACAGGCATTCAGTCTTATGGGATCCACTATTGCACCTATAACTAAACTTTTCATGTTAATTCTCAGTTGAAAATTTTGGGTAAACTCTATACACTACCCAATGATATTCAGCCAGTACTCATGCTTGTATATTCCTCTTCTTGTCTTTTCACAACTTAATTACGTTGCTCATCAAAAACTTTACCAAACCTCAGTACAGTGTGTCAAGTTTCACGGGTTCCATTCTTTGATGACTTAGAAATTTATAAACTTAAGAACTAATGCTCTATTTAATTTTCTCATAATAATTAAAGATTCACATATAGAGGTGTCTTAAGTAAGAAAAAAAATCAGCTAATTTGGTTGGTGGAACCATTTCAGATGCACACCCTTTGTAATTTGGAGTCCTACAGGGATCAGTTTTGGGACCCCTTCTGTTTACAGTCTACAGTCATGCATCTCTGTTGGATGCTCATGGTGTTGCCTACCATTTTTATGCCGATGATACACAGCTTTATGTGAAAATAAGAAATGTTGAGGATATGAAATCCTTGATGTCTGATTAGATTTGGATGGCAAGACAAAAACTTAAGCTGAATGACAGCAAAGCCGAGATTATTGTCATCCAAATAAATAGGAGGGGAGATGGCACAGATGATTTTGGCTCTTTAAACTATGGGGAAGTACAACTCAGTCCTGTTGATTCTGTTCGTAATCTTGAAATTTATATGTTGTTAAGCAGTTTTTGTATACACGTTGTCTTGTGACACTATTACATTAACTTGTCTCAGGTTGACTATTGTAATTCATTATGGGTCTGCCTACCTAATTATCTACTGAAGAAAGTTCAAACAGTGTTGAACAGGGTTGCCAGGCTTATTTTTGCTCCCCCACCAAAGATTCCCACTACCCTATTCTTGAATGAATTACATGGGCTTCCAATTAAAACTAGGATAGAGTTCAAGCTCTGTCTAATGACTATTAAGACACTAATGTTTGGTAGGCCTAAGTATTTGGCCAACTTACTAATTCCACTGATTACACATTCTGAGGTGATTTTGCATAGTAGTGATGATCCTTCACGCCTTGAGGACCTTAGAGCAATACGAGAATGTTCTCTTGCTGCCCGGTCCTTTTCCTATACAGCAACCAGATTGTACATTAGTTGCCTGCATCCATCAAGCAGCTGACTTCTGTGGAGGCATTTTAGAAACAACTTAAGGCCTTTCTTTTTTAGAAAGCTTATGATCCTGAACAGGTCTACAGTGATGGAGAATTACAGAGTTTAGGAAGTGTTAAAACTTAAGGTTATATGAATGACGGGAGTTTAACTGTCACTTTTTGTGATCTATTATTGTAGTACAGTACAGTACAGTACAGTAATTTGTAGTGTTTTAAGCACAAGTGAATTCTTAGAAGAACTGGTGCTTTCAAGAAACAAAAGACCAGTTATTATTATTATTATTATTTATTATTAACATATATCTTGTATTGCAGTTGTCGCCTCACAGTAGATGAAGCATTGCAACATCAGTGGTTAAATGGGCTGTATTCTTCCCATCCACTCACCAGTCCTTCTTCCTCCACCACACATCAGTCCAGCAGAGAGATACGTATTCACACTCCCAATTCAACTGCTGTAACATCCCAACGCCAAACCAAGGAATTGGACACGCAAAATACGAGTCCCAAAGGAATTGCACCTTTCCATTGCAGTAGTCCCAGTAAAGAAAATATTTCACATTCTGTCATGATGTCTGCCACTATATCTGCAGTTACACCCAGCTGTAGCAAAGATGCATCAGCACAATCAAATAACTCTACCGTTTCCTCCATGCGCCTTATTAGAGAACCTGAATTATATGCCCCTAGTACTTCTTCCATGCACTTGACCAAAGTTGATCTTGGATGTGTTGGAAGCTCCTCACATATCAGCAGAGAAGGTATCGTACCATGGAGAAAATCTGAATTCTTAAATAAAGAGAATAATAAGAACACGTTAAATAAAACAGAGGAGCTTGTTGTATCAGGACACAGTAAAGAGGTGGTCACCCTTGACTCCCCAAGCAAGTCTAGAAGCAGACTAGTTCACACAGAAAAGGGAAAATTGATCAGAGAATCAGATTTAGCCAAGAAGTTGGCCAGCAATAAGGAAGGCAAGGAAAATAAGGAAAATGGAAAAGAAATCAAAGACTGCAGTAAAGAAAAATTGAAACCCTCAGCACTCTGTCTTAGACGGCAAGGTTCAAAATGCGATTTAAAATCACCGACAGAGCAGCAGAAATATGGGTCAGTGCAAGGGTCTGTAAGTATAATATTAGAAAAAAGTATCATTTGTTAACCCAGTGAGATGGTTTGTAGTCATTCAGGAATTTTATCCTCTTAAATTTAAAAACTCCATGGAGTACTAACTGCTCAGCAATAAGTGATGCCAGTCTTCTTGACTGGATGAAGCACTCCATATGTTAATCAATCTCACAATCAAATGGTGCTATTGTAACAAAATTGCTCCTGATATTAAATAACTAGCCACAACAGTTAACAGAGATTAATACATCATATATTTTGGCTGTTAAGTTTGCATCTGCAGGGCTTTTTGTATGCATTACTTGTGTAAAGTTTGTGGTATAACTTCTAATAAACTCAGTGATATTCACCAAGTATTATAGAGAGGAAATATACAGTATTAGCACAAAAATTTCTTCAGACGACAGATGCAGGTGGTCGCCAGTTTCTTATTAAAAATATGTAATATAGTTTTCATGATATTTATTTAAAATCATGTCTTTTGTCGAATTGATTAGGTTAAAATGTAACTTATATAAAAAGTTAGGTAAATGTATATTTTTATCATTGAAACAGTTTTTAGCTGTTTTCTGAGGTACTGTATTATGAAATCCCTTTATTTTAAGGTTTTAATGACCCTTGTGCATTACATCACACACACATACATTCTTGAGGGAACAGAAGCATTAGTGTTGTTAAAGTGTGAATAACAGTAAAACCCCTATAATTCTGACTCCTCAAATTCAAAGTCAATCATAATTTGTAGTGTTTTGCTGTTACGAAATACTGTATACAGTATATTAAAAAAAATTAATATTTGGTAAAATTTCAAAATATTATGATATCTATATTACAATTTTCGTAATACTTGGTAAAATTTAGGATTATGAGAGACATTTATGAATAAATATGATGCACGTGTCAATATGGGATACAACCGTTCACCTCAGTGTAAATAAGTACTACAGTATATGTATCATACATGTTGGTCACTCGGTCAGTTCCTGTTGGTCACTTGTGGAGTGCACATCATTGCCCAGTGTTTGAGCCACTATGTCTGATAACTCTGGACCAAGTACCTAAATTTGGTACAGCACTGTGCTTAGAGGCGCTTAAATTTTGATTGTGGCAGATAATGGAAAGGTATTGTTTTTTGTCTTATTTTTGTGTGTATTTTCTCTCAGGTGCCCCTCATATTTTGTAAAATCTCATAGCTCTTAAGGGCTAGTGCCCCTAGTATTTCGAACTATGGGGGTTTTACTGTAAGTTTAAAATTTACAGTGGTGTTATAAACAAGATTTCCATTTGTTTAGCAAGTTCTATACTTTAAAGGAAACTTCCTTATTGGAATATAAAGATTTAATTCAGTGTCTCCCAAAATAAAACAAATATAATGATTTCAGGACAAATGATTATGTACAGTAGTACTCCGATTTACGCGGTCAATTGAACCCACAGGGTACCGCGTCAAGTGAAATCCGCGTAAATGGAACAACAGAACATATGGGATTAATTCCAACAGAGACTGGCCCGACCCCCAAACTCTACTTTTTCCGACACAATACCTATGTTCTAGTAAAAATAACATCTTAATTTTATGATGGTACCTGCACACAATTAATACTTAAGAGAAATAGAGAAATACAGTCGCCAAGTTAATGTCCATTCAAATAATGGACTCAACTCCCTCCCCCTCTTCTCACACTACACTGCTGGCTCTTCCCTCTCTGAGAAATTTTTTGGGGAAAACCACTAGATTTTAATAATGCCTCAAACTAAAGTTAGGATAATATAATTGACATTGCTGGATTCCTTGTAAGACCAGGAATATTTTGAATATAAATGTCATATATTTTGCACAAAAGATAACATATTTACTCAGAGTAAACATTATATCTAAAATTTGTATGTCTAATGCAAAATCTATGATGTTTATATTCAAAATGATCATCAAATTGTAAGAATTCCAGCAATGTAAATTATATTCTGGCCGGGTAATTTGTATGAATTTTATGAGCTAAAACAAATATCTTCAGTTAATAAAAAAAAAATATTCTTCACACCGTGCCAGATGGTCGGTCGGTCCCTCCCTTCCCCCCACCAACCCTCCCTACCACATGTGTGGGAAAACCAGAATATTTACCTTTTTAGTAATAAATAATACATCAAACTAAAGTTAGGATAATATAATTGATATTGCTGGATTCCTTGTAAGACCAGGAATATTTTGAATATAAATGTCATATATTTTGCACAAAAGATAACATATTTACTCAGAGTAAACATTACCTGTATATCTAAAATTTGTATGTCTAATGCAAAATCTATGATGTTTATATTCAAAATGATCATCATATTGTAAGAATTCCAGCAATGTAAATTATATTCTGGCCGGGTAATTTGTATGAATTTTATGAGCTAAATAAAAAATAAAAAAAATTATACTTCACCGCGTATATGAGTAGATGAACCGCGTTAAGTGAAAGTTCGGTTCTGGCGAGGCACTGTGTATATGAGAAATCGCGTAAAGTGAAACCGCGTAAAGCAGGGTAATATTGTATTCTTGATATTTAAGGGACAGTAATGTAATGTGACAACAATATTAGTGTACAGTAAGTGGTGTAGGCAGGACCAATCGTGCAATCCAGGTGATTATCAAACCTTCATATGTTAAAAGCACCTTATCAACCCTAACAAGAGTCCTGGAAAATAAATTTAATACAGTATTACCCCGCTTTACGCGGTTTCACTTTCCGCGATTTCTCATTTACGCGGTGCCTCGCCAGAACCGAACTTTCACTTTCCGCAGTGCATCTACTCATATACGCAGGAAGCGGCGCGGGCAGGATGCGCACAAGGTCGCCCAGTCATCAAAACATTACCGAGTTCTTCACCCGCCACCCACCACAGCCGGCCCAAGTCAGTGATAGTGATAATTATAGTGAGGATATGGACTTATATGGACTTTGAGGGAGTTTGACAAAGAGGCCCTGCAAGCCTCTGTGGTGGATAGTGATACAATTGATACAAGTGATACAGGTGAGGGCCAATAATCTGCCCTCTGCCTCAGAACCAACCCCCCCATCCCCGTGTGCCCAGCCATCTTTTTCTACTAATGTAAGTGTTAAAAAAACTAATATTATTGATATTTCTCTTAATTATTAATTGTGTGTGCATACCATCATAAAGTTAAGATAATATTTTTACTACAACATAGTTGTGTGTCGTCAAAAAGTGGAGTTTGGGGGTCGGGCCAGTCTCTATTGGAATTAATCCCATATGTTCTGTTGTTCACTTTACGCGGTACCCTGTGGGTTCAATTGACTGCGTAAATCGGGGTACTACTGTATATGTTTGGAAATTAAATAAAGATGAACTATTTCTTTGTTGCAAGAAAAAAGTGTGTGAGTGATAGAACAATTGTGAAATTATTTTTGAAGCTTCCTATAATATTTTATAATAAGTGAGATGCCATTTGGTGCTACAGTGTGTATGTGTATGTGTGTGTGTGTGCGCGCTCGTGCGCGGCTATAGAATCACTAGTGGAAGGTATGGTAGTGCTATACTGTGTTATTTTGATAGTCTTACTACCATAGATGACTAAGACTACCTGGTCTGTATCAATATGAGAAAGCAAACTGAGGGAAACCTGGAGAGTGGAGCTCTCAATATTATCACCACGTGTCATTTTCATGCTGTGCCCTCACATTGTCAGCTAATTATTGAATGTAGCTCATCTGAAGTACATCCTAATGAATAGCTGTCATTTATATCATTGAATGAAGAAATATTATTGTAAATAATTTTTTGTTAAACTAATAATAAAAAGGTTTAGTGAAAAGTTTTTTAAGAAAAATACTTTTGTCAGAATCAGTGTTATATAATTAACATTTGGAAATATTTTCCTGTCAAATTGTTTTGGGTTTGGATTAATGGTGAATACTTTACCCTTAAGAACTTGGTACAGAAATCTTTGCCATCATCATAGGAGGGACATTCATCTTGGCTATAAAATATTCTGATTGATCAAAAGTCTTTGATGCTCAATGTGATATGGTAAATTCATGAGTAATTTCTTTACCTCTATGAGGCTACTGTTACCTATCAAACTGTCTCAAAAGTAGAACAAATTTATTTAATCATGACTGAATTTACTACTGAACAGGGACTTAACTTTTTACACCTCTTAATCACTGCCTTTTTAGCATTCCATACTACCTTTCTTGGTACTTACCATTTTTAAGGGCACAGTTTTTTAGAAAGCTATACATTGCTTCCTCACTGATAATACTGCTGACTATTTTACTGTCCTTTTGGCAGTATGTGTGCATCACATATTATTTATACTCTGTTTAAAATGATAATTCAAGGGATCATAATGTTAAGGTCAAATTTGTGTAGATTGGTTATTTACATTGCTTGTGCATCGTCAGTTACACAATAAAAGTTGTAGTTATATCAAATTTATAATTTGAATTTAAAAAATTTGCATTCGATATGCAATTAATATACAAAATACTGTTGTGAACGCTCATCTTTTCTGGGTTGTTGCTCAACATCCAAATTTGATTAATTTGAATGATAGAAAAGTCTTGCTTGATTTGAAGCAAAGTATTGAAGTTATAGCTCTTCTTTTTCTTCAACTTACATTGTTAATATTGCATGAACTGCTTTAAACAAAATTTTTGAATGTAATAATTAATTTTCAAATTTTATTAAATCATCTTTGGCTGGTTTACTGATTAAAAGATTCTATGTATATTATGATCGTTGATTACTGATAAAGAAAATAATCTTTTAATGTACAAAAATTACATAATTGATGAGAAAGTGGAGGCCAGGGATCATAATTTTTTTTTACAGATAAAGGGACTTTGTGAGTCATTTTCCATCTCTATGTTTGTTTCCTCTTTGATAATTTGTACTTGTGAGCAACTTTATAACAATGTCATATACAAATTTCAGAAGTTTACAGAGAATTAATATGCACAAGTATGTCTTATCCGGTTATAAGTTTAATTTTATGGTTATACAATACCAGACATTCTTCATATTCTTGTATATTTTGTACATATTTTGTGTACCTATTATATAAACTTTTAAAGTCCAAAAAAAATTATTATTTATTCCTTAGGTATAACCATAAGTGTTCAGTAAACTAGGATTTTGTTTTTATTAAGAATATTGGAAATGGCACTTATTACACTGTTTGAGGTGTGCCATTGAACAGAATAAAATTAGTGTTTTAAATCAGGTGAAATTAGTTCAACACTGATTAAATAGCATTTATTATTCAATTTATTTTTTTAAACCACTCTTAGTACAGTGTATCAAAGTTTTCAATAAGAGCAAAATTTATAACATTATAACACATAATGTGGCAAGCAATTTTTTGGGCTGAAAACAGCTTAGGTTTTGAAATTTAAAATTAGCTACCAAAGTTTAAATGTCTCAACTGGTTTATTAAAACCAAAATGAGTACAAAAACCATACAAACTGACAAGAGTTGTTATTGTCTTTTATCTCGCCTATCCAATAGTGATTGGTGGTTGGTTATTTAGTTGAGTACAATTAGTTAAACTCATCATCTAAGAAAATCCAAATAAGGATTAATTCTTAATAATTTGTTCATATTTAATTCATTTAGTAACTTTTAGCTACTAAACAGAGCTGAATTGGGTAAATTTTAGTACAGTATTATACAGTGAAGCCTCAAATAATGATGGTAATGTGTCCTCCAATATTGCAGTGTAAGGTGAATCATTAATTACTATTAAAATAAGCAATAATAATAAGATGCATTCCTAAGTGTGACCTTTTTATATCTTTTGTGTGGCTTTTTACCCTCTCCTCCCCCCCCAAATAATAAAATTAATGAAAAATAAAAACTACAGACTGTTCTTTAAATAATGTTTATGAATGCACCTTATACAATATAAATAAATTATAATATGGTCACGCAAGAGGAAACAGGACGCCATTGTTGTTGTCAGTGTTTACATCCATGACGATGGTTGTCCATCTGAAACTGAAGAAGATAAGACCCTGGTTGTTGCTGTAGTAAAAGTAATGTAAAAAAAATAGTGTACTGGGTGTTTTAATTTGTGTTATTTAATGTACAGTAGAAGTAACCACTGATGGTAAAGAAAAAGTGAAAGGAACTGCGCATAGCCAACGTGTATAACAGTACCTACGCACATGAGAAAACATAGCATCATGAATCCTTCCTCTTGCAATTACTGTTGAATGTCCTTTAACGTGAGTCTTGCAGGTTCCTTCAAAGTATCATAAATAAATGTATATGGGTTAAATTATCAAACCCAAATGGTCTTTTCTCTATATTTTAAGAAGCTAAACTAGTGCACAAATAATTATATCACCGTAATTAATGCTGTGAGCTGTGAGCGTAAATAAAAATATGAAGCAGAGCTTCAAGAGCCTCGCTTGTTCAGAAGCGAGAGAGAGTGTAGGATTGAGGGTAAACTCATGTCACAGGCCAGGGGTCTGGTCCTTAATGTTTACATAGTC